GGTCTCTCAAGTATCCAGATCCACTGCCATGTAGGGCTTTATGGGTGGTCAATAGCACCTTGAAGCGCATCCGGAGATCGACAGGTAGCCAGCGCAGCTCGCGGAGTATAGAATGCAGTATTGAAGGTAATTCTGCGAACTGTCAGGAGTTCGATCCTGACAGGCTGAAGGTTGTCTCAAGGACTTCCATCTTATCGAGGTTGGTAAAAGGAGGACCCAGACTGTTAGGGGCAATATGCTGACTTTGTAAACTGCTTAGAGAGGGCTATAAAGCACTGTGAAGCAGTATATAAATCTAAGTGTTACTGCTATTCAACTATTCACCCCCAAGCCATCTAGGCATCTCCATTTAAACACACATGCATTTTCACAAACAGAGTCCTCGAGAGTTTTTATAACATAATGTTTCAAACAATAAATCCTTACATTAATTAACCCTGGTCTTTGTAGTGGTCTAAAATTCACATTCCAATTAATTATCTGTGAATAATTCATGCAACTAGAGGATATTAATTTATTTTATCATTCCTCGGGTATCTTTTTAATAACATGTGCAGTTACCAAAACAGAAAAGAAACCCAAACTTAATTTTTTAAAAAGCTTATCTAGTTTATTTTTTGGAGAACCATTTAACTACTTTCCATTAATCTTATTCAGCATGTTTAGTGATAAATTGAGATACTAATTCAGAATAACAGGTATGCTAACAGGAAGGGGAAAGAATGTAAATTAATTAGTCCCAGAAATTTATTCTTAAACACAAGGAAAGCATGAAGCAATTTCACTGTTAAATGGTTTCATTTCAGACAATTCTCATTCATTTTCTAGTTATAAAATAAAATATACACATAATATACAAATTATTTTAATTCAGAACACTTATGTTTTGACCTGCTGTTAGAGAATATTTATTACAGGTAGTCCTTGAGTCATGACCACAACTGAGCTCAACATTTATGTTGGTAAGTGAGACAGTTGTTATATGAATTTTGCCTCATTTTGCAACCTTTCTTTCTACAATTGTTAAGTGAATCACTGCAATTGTTAAGTTAGTAACAGTAAGGCTTGACTTTGCTTGTCAGAAGGTTGCAAAAGGTGATCACATGACCCCATGACATTGCAACCTTCATAAATATGAGTCATTTGCCAAATGGCTTAATTTTGATCCCATGACCATGGAGATGCTGCAATGGTCATAAGTGTGAAAAATGGTCATAAGTCACTTTTTTCAGTGCCATAGTAATCTTAAATGGCAATATATTAATCAGTGTTCAACTAGAGGGGATCACATGTGTATAATGTCTTTTTTATGCACCTTTTTAATGCTTTGATTGCTTTGTGTTTTTTTCCTTTTGTCCTTTTGGATTATAATTTTTTGAGCTCTGTATTTTGCATTTAACTTTTTTTTTGAATAAAATAAAATAACACACAGACACAGACAAAAATTAATTGATTGACTCACCCACAGCTCCAGCAACGAGGAGTTTACCCAGGAATAATAAGAAGTCTGTTACTTTATCCAGGACTGCAACCCTTTGCAACAGATAAGAAAACTGTTATTATTATGTTGTTTTTCATCCCAAAGGCTGTATGGATCTGAATCTAGCTGTTAAGGTTACTTCGATAACTACGTGACATACTATTTCTATGTACTTAAAGGATCTCATTTTAGAGAAAGATTTAAAACCTGATAATTAATTTCCTCAGAGAAGCGACGATTACTATTTTATTAGTATTATCTGAGGGGAAATGCAAATATTCCTTTATTTGCTGGGTTGTGGTCATAACTCGAGGACTACTTGTATTTAGTCCAGGTATGCCAATCATTTTGTTTGCCTGGACAACACGGAGTGAAGAGGAATTGTCTTGGGTCATATATAAGATATATAATATATATAGTCATTCATTCACTCTCTCTCCCCCCCTCTCTCTTTCTTTTTCTTCCCTTCTTCTTCTACCTGTTATATGTACACACCTACACACCATGGCAATCTTCTATTAATAACAAAACTGCCCAAGAAGGTTAAAAACTGAATATGTTGGGGGTTTAATTCTTTTATTAATATTCACTTGATGTGAGGTAGATGACGTGTGTACTTAAATAAAATAAACCTAACATTTCTCAAATTAACTCAAATAAATAACGGTTAGGGTGTTAACTGTATTCTTTGTGAATCTAGAACAAACTTGTTCACAGCACTAGTCCATGCTTTAAAGTTTCTATCTCTGCAATTGTGTGGAAACAATTAAAAATGTGATCTAGCCTTTGAATGTGATCTGTTCCTAAACTGGAATTCTCTAGAAGTATTGCATTTGCAACTCCAAGAGTTTCTGGACAGGACAGAATTATGGAATTAATGGCTCAAGCTATCTACAGTGGATGACATTAGTCTTAGATAAATAAGAATAATATGAATATTTAAAACATTAATCAAGCATATTTTTAGTGAGGGCCAAATATATGGGGCATACAGGATTATACCTTCTTACCTTACCACATTTCTCATGAGAAGAAAGAACGCTTCCCTTGCTGAGGTGCAGAAGTTTTTACCATAGATTGCAATCTGCAGAAGAGTAATAGCTATTAACATATACTAAGGTTTTCTGAGACTAGATATTAAAGTATCTTTTAGTATGCAGAAAAAAAGATATAAACATTTCAATCCAAAAATAGTTTAAATACTATGGTTTTAAACCATTATATTAAAAAATTGGAACACTGGAATTGCCACACCAGTTATATAGTTTGCTAGGCATTGCATAAAAATGTTTGGAAAAGGAGAGAGTGAAAAAGAAAACCTACCATGATGTAAGCATTCCTGTTGATAAATTTAAGGAATTTTTCCAAACACCAAAAACAGCATTTGAGGCAGCAAAGCAAGAACTTAGCAAATGCATTTTGTGAGCCTGCATGAAAGAGAGAAAACATTCCTTAAAAATTTACAAAATGCCAAGATGATTCCATATAGAAGATTTTATACTTGTGCATGAGAATTTGGAGATGAAGAATAAATTAGGGTTGGCTAAAGCTTTAAATATTTTCTTTCATTGCTTAAACAAACTGGGAATGTTCACTCTACCAATGGTCAGAAACTTCCCCATTCATGGCTTGCTGTAAAGTACATTTTCCCAAAGTCCATAAATAGAAACACTGGAGCAAGATATGTAAACCAATTGTGGTTTAGGCCCAGAGGTGGGATTGAAAATTTTTAGCAACCGGTTATCTGCCTGGTTGCTGGGTGGGAAAGGCCATGGTGAGTGTGGCCTTCTCGGCATCCAGAGCCCAGAGGAAGCCATTTTTTCCCTCCCAGGGGCTCAAGAAAAGCCTGGAGAGGGCAAAAATGCCCGCACCCCTGGTGGGAGCAGCTCCAGAGGCAGCCTGGCAATGGGCTTGTCTCCAGACTTCCGGGAGGTCCATTTTTTGCCCTCCCAGAGCCTCTGCACAAGCCCTGCACTTACCTGGCATCCAAAATAGGCCATGTGGAGACTCCTGGGAGAGGCAGAGTGGGGTGGGTGGGGCCAGCCAGTTCTTGCAACTACCACTTCAGTGAACCAGATGTAAAATTAGCATCCAGTTCAGACCAGCCCAAACTGGTCCGAACCAACTGAATCCCACCCCTGTTTAGTCCCTTTATGGATATAAATGCTTCTGCCAAATTTATGTTTCATATAAATGAGAAGGCATGAAAGTGTTCATAAACTGAAAAAGCAAAGTCTTATTTCATGAAACTCACCCTTAAGTTTGTGATCAAGGTATTCCAGGATTACTCTAATTAGTTGAACCACTGCAAGAATTAAGGAGCCAAATGCTAAAGAACCTGTATGATACCTAAAGAAAAAAAATTCAAATGTTACTCTTCAGGAAGAAGCATGTTCCTTGACATTGTACAGTTACAAAAACGGTTAATATGGCTGATAAAAATTCTACTATATAATATTATGGACTACAACATGTATTTATAAGGCGTATCTATATTAAAATATGAATTTGTAGTTCTAATTTACTGCTATTGCCAAGCCCAAAGAGACGTTACAGACACATTTTCCCTGTTTCCCTGAAAATAAGACCTTCCTGGATAATAAGCCCAATAGCGCATGCACTAAAATAAGCCCTTCCCTGAAAATAATCCCTCCTCGAAAATATTGCAGCACAGCAGCAGCCATGAGGTGACCATACTTTCCACCTCCTGCACCTCAAAAATAATAAGACCTCCCCAAAAATAAGGTCAAGTGCTTATTTTGAGGGTCAAAAGAAAACAAGATGCACGGTAAAATCTAGCTGTGTGAAAACATGACACGGAAGATAGAGATAGAAGTGAATTCAAACACTGATGTAATTTCTTACTTACCGTATTGCTCGTCCAAATGAAGAAAAGAGAGGGCAAGGTGGGATGTCAGCAGGTTTTCGGAAGGCCCAATAATAAGAAGCAAAGGCACCAGCAAGGGTACATTGACCCAATGCGATTGAAAAATTGACCAGCCAGAGAAAGACAAACACATTGATAATTTGAAACACTAAAATGTAGCGGTGGTATAGACTTTCTCCCCCATAGAAAGCAAATGTACACTGTGCCCCTGGACATAGTTTGGTCACGTTAGTAGTGTTGAAAGTCTGTTCAGGGACAAAAGAAAAATAATCAATTGGAGACATGAACTGATTTCAATACAGTCTCAAACTGTGAATCTTTCCATTGTTAGGCTAATGGACAGAGAACAACAGAGGGCAGTATTCAGCTAATGATTGCATAAGTATTAATGATAGTCATGTACAGTATGTATAACATTTGGAATAGTGAGATAACAGTGTATTGTGTAGCATATTATAAAAACAGCTTGAGGTAGGCTGTATAAGCACAATCAAAATAGTAGAGCTGATATTATTTAAAAACCCAGAACTTCTGCAAGTGATGGAAATTTTGCTTTAGCAGAATTCAAGCTGTTAAAATTTAAAAACCTCAAATGGTAATTAATTCATATGGCAAACAGTTCTTACAAATCATCCTAAATGCCTAAACAAATTGACACATTTTAAGCCATAGATGCTTCACAGGCTTCAGTAAATTTCCAATGTTTCTAACAGTTTCAGAAAACTCTTAACAAAGTTACCGTATTTTTCAGAGTATAAGACGCACTAAGATTTTGAAGAGGCAAATAGAAAAGACGTTTTTGCACTCTGCAGACCTCCCAAAAACAGACCTCTCAAAAAAAGGGCATGAATAGCCTTCAGGAGGCTTGTAGAGTGCTCCTAGAGGCTGGGGCAGGGGATTGAGCAAAAATTGGCCCGTTTTTCACTGATTTCTGCCCTCCCCAGCCCCCAGGAGCACTCTGAAAGCTTCCTAAAGGCAATGCATGGCCATTTTGGTGAAGGGAGCAGGTTTTGGGAGGCAAA